GGGACTACATAGGTTTGAGGAGCTTCCTGCAGGAGGTTCCGTGGGACAGAGAACTGGCAGGAAAGCCAGTAAATGAAATGATGGAATATGTAACAACAAAATGCAACGAGGCAGTGGAAAGGTTTATTCCCAAGGGCAACAGAAACAATGGGAAGACCAGAACGAGCCCCTGGTTTACCCGACGGTGTAAGGAGGCAAAAACAAAGTGCAATAGAGAACGGAAAAAGTACAGAAGGCAGAAAACACATGAAAATAGGGAGATTAGTCGCAGAGCCAGGAACGAGTATGCACAGGTAAGGAGGGAGGCCCAGCGACAGTACGAAAATAACATAGCATCGAAAGTCAAGACTGACCCGAAACTGTTGTGTAGCCACATCAGGAGGAAGACAACAGTCAAAGACCAGGTGATCAGACTGAGGACAGAAGGTGGAGAATTCACAATAAATGATCAGGAGGTATGTGAGGAGCTAAACAGGAGATTTAAGGAAGTTTTTACAGTAGAGACAGGAAGGGCTCTGGGAAGACAGCACAGAAGGGAACATTAAGAAGGAATATACCAACAAGTATTGGATGACATACGAACAACCGAGGAGGAGGTGCAGAAGCTGCTAAGTGATCTTGATACCTCAAAGGCGATGAGACTAGACAACATCTCCCTGTGGGTCCTTAGAGAAGGAGCAGAGATGCTGTGTGTGCCCTTAACCACAATCTTCAACACATCCCTTGAAACTGGGCAACTACCTGAGAAATGGAAGACAGCAAATGTAGTCCCCATATTTAAGAAAGGAAACAGAAACGAGGCACTGAACTACAGACCTGTGTCTCTGACATGTATAGTATGCAAGGTCATGGAGAAGATTATCAGGAGGAGAGTGGTGGAACACCTGGAACGGAACAAGATTATAAATGAAAACCAGCATGGCTTCATGGAAGGCAAATCCTGTGTCACAAACCTTCTGGAGTTTTATGACAAGGTAACAGAAGTAAGACACGAGAGAGAGGGGTGGGTTGATTGCATTTTCCTAGACTGCAGGAAGGCCTTTGACACAGTTCCTCACAAGAGAGTAGTGCAGAAGCTCGAGGATCAGGCGCATATAACTGGGAGGGCACTGCAATGGATCAGGGAATACCTGACAGGGAGGCAACAACGAGTCATGGTACGTGAAGAGGTATCACAGTGGGCGCCTGTGACGAGCAGGGTCCCACAGGGGTCAGTTCTAGGACCAGTGCTATTTTTTATATATGCGAACGACCTGGACAGGCTGGACACGTAGTCCAGAAACTGGCTTCTCGAATTCAACCCTGCCAAATGCAAAGTCATGAAGATTGGGGAGGGGCAAAGAAGACCGCAGACAGAGTATAGGCTAGGTGGACAAAAACTACAGACCTCACTCAGGGAGAAAAATCTTGGGGTGACCATAACACCGAGCACGTCACCGGAGGCACACGTCGACCAAATAACTGCTGCAGCACATGGGCGCCTCACAAACCTGAGAATAGCGTTCCGATACCTTAATAAGGAATCGTTCAAGACACTGTACACTGTGTATGTTAGGCCCATACTGGAGTATGCAGCATCAGTCTGGAACCCACACCTGGTCAAGCACGTCAAGAAGTTAGAGAAAGTACAAAGGTTTGCAACAAGGCTAGTTCCAGAGCTCAGGGGAATGTCGTACGAGGAAAGGTTGAGGGAAATCGGACTGACGGCACTGGAGGACAGAAGGGTCAGGGGAGACATGATAACGACATACAAGATACTGCGGGGAATAGACAAGGTGGACAAAGACAGGATGTTCCAGGGAGGGGACATAGAAACAAGGGGTCACAATTGGAAGTTGAAGACTCAGACGAGTCACAGGGACGTTAGGAAGTATTTCTTCAGTCATAGAGTCGTCAGGAAGTGGAATAGCCTAGCAAGTGAAGTAGTGGAGGCAGGAACCATACATAGTTTTAAGAAGAGGTATGACAAAGCTCAGGAAGCAGAGAGGGAGAGGACCTAGTAGCGATCAGTAAAGAGGCGGGGCCAGGAGCTGAGTCTCGACCCCTGCAACCACAATTAGGTGAGTACAATTAGGTGAGTACACACACACACCACACACACACACCACACAAGCCACACCACACCACATACACACACACACACCACACACACACGCCACACACACACACCACACACACACACCACACATACACACACACACACACACACACACACACACACACACACACACACACACACACACACACACACCACACACACACACACACCACACACGCACACACCACACAAACACACCACACACACAAACACACACACCGTGTATGTCAGGCCCATACTGGAGTATGCAGCACCTGTTTGGAACCCGCACTTGATAAAGCACGTCAAGAAACTAGAGAAAGTACAAAGGTTTGCGACAAGGTTAGTTCCAGAGCTAAGGGGAATGTCCTATGAGGAAAGATTAAGGGAAATCGGCCTGACCACACTGGAGGACAGGAGGGTCAGGTGAGACATGATAACGACATATAAAATAACTGCGTGGAATAGACAAGGTGGACAAAGACAGGATGTTCCAGGGAGGGGACACAGAAACAAGAGGCCACAATTGGAAGTTGAAGACACAAATGAGTCAGAGAGATAGTAGGAAGTATTTCTTCAGTCATAGAGTTGTAAGGCAGTGGAATAGCCTAGAAAATGACGTAGTGGAGGCAGGAACCATACACAGTTTTAAGACGAGGTTTGATAAAGCTCATGGAGCGGGGAGAGAGAGGGCCTAGTAGCAACCGGTGAAGAGGCGGGGCCAGGAGCTAGGACTCGACCCCTGCAACCACAAATAGGTGAGTGAGTACAAATAGGTGAGTACCACACACACAATACAAACCACACACCACACAACACACACACACACAACACACCACACCCCCACACACACCACACACACACACACCACACACACACACACCACACACAACCACACACACACACACACACACACACACCACACACACACACACACACACACACACACACACAACCACACACCCCACACCACACACACCACACACACACACCACACACACGCACACCACACACACACACCACACACACACCACATAAAACACAACCCACAAAACACACCACACACACACACACCATAAAACACCACACACACCACACACACACAACACACACACACCCCCACACACACAACCACCACACAAACACCACACACACAACACACACACCACACACAAACACCACACACACACCATACACACACCACACACACACACACCACACACACACACAATCACACACACACCACACACACACACACCACACACACACACCATACACACACACCCCACACACACACACACTCACACATCACACCACACACACACACACACACACACACACACACACACACACACACACACACACACACACACACACACACATACATACATACAAACAAACATAAGGAACCTTCACTCTCCAGTGTTTCACATCCTGACAACTCTAAGGATAAAAAAAAAAATATTACCTAACATCTCTGTCTCTGAGTTTTCAATTCCCAGCTGTGCCCTCTTGTTCCTATTTCCCATCTCTGAAACATCCTGTATCTGTATCAGACTTAAAAGAAGATCTAAAATTATTGTCAGTTTGGTAGGCCCTGTGCCCTTCTCTCGAAATATCATCTGGGCGCCTGGCCTACGTTTCCTACCCATCGAAGTGTTCCTGCTAGCACATGTGGAACTACTTATTTGCCACTACCCATACCTACGCCTACACCTGAATATGGGGATGAGCATGTCACTCTTCCCAGTACACACATCTACAACAGTCAGACGGACACCACACGTGACCCCACTTGAAGCTGGAGATGAGTTAGGTGCACAGGACTTACCTAAAATGAATGACTGAGTCAGTCATGCCACAGGCACCATCAGAGAACACTAATTTAACCATGGTACCTGTTAAGGTGATAGGTGTTAAAAAAATAACTCAGAAGCACCTTTCTCTGGAGAGGCATTGGATTCGCCTGACCTTCCTCAAATTATAACAAACTTGCAGAAAAAAACTGAGCATCTTGAACAGATGCTGATAAATTTTATAAATATAGGTAGTAAGGATGATGCTCTTGAGTACGATGATGATGTCAAAAGTGTAGCAATCTCCATTCAGTTTCAAGCAATTTGTACGAAAGAAGTCAATGACTCTTGGCTTCAAGAACTGCGGGGAACTGGCTGGCAGAGGAAAAGCCTTATAGTTTTTTTTTATGTGTTACTGAGATATCAATATAATGTACATTCAGAGCTTTCAATGCAAAAAAGATAGTATCTTTCTACTAGGTATAAAAGTGTTGTGGATGTACCGTTAGATTTTTTACTAGGCACTGACATTCACCACCTTTAAAATGAATATTATAAATGTTTCTTTAGAGTTTTTTATTTCTTTTAAGTGTTCACAGGAATAATTATGTGGTTAGGTTAGGTAAGGTTTGTCAGGAAACAGGACAAGTGCTTCCTGACGCAGGTCTTATTATGTGGTTAGGTAAGGTTCATCAGGAAACAGGACATATGTGTTTTTTTTTTCTTATTCGTCGGTACTCTCCCGGCCCGGGTCTTTTCCAAGTAGTGGTGACCCGGCCTTGGCTCCCTATCTGGGGAGTGTCTCGAGACCTAAGTCTCCCATGGGAGGAGGTACAAGTACCCACTCATCTTTTACATATGTGGTTTATTATTATTATTATTAAAGATTCGCCGGTAGGTTCCCGGCCCGGCCTTGGCTCCCTCTTTAGGGAGTGTCTGAGACATAAGTCTCCCATGGGAGGAGGCACAAATACCTCCTCATCTTTGGGACCAACTGTCCCCAGGCCTAGCCACAAGCTAGGCCTCTCTGGTCTGCCATCCCCGCCACAAGGGGGCAAATGGGAATGACAGTCTTATGAGCTAAAGGCTCGGGCTCAGGCACCTACCCTACCCTAGAAGGGTTAGGCATGGTATCGATCCATATGTTTTTTTTTTTTTTTTTTTTTTTATTCGCCGGTATTCTCCCGGCCCGGGTCTTTTCCAAGTAGTGGTGACCCGGCCTTGGCTCCCTATCTGGGGAGTGTCTCGAGACTTAAGTCTCCCATGGGAGGAGGTACAAGTACCTCCTCATCTTTGGGACCAAGTGTCCCCAGGCCTAGCCACATTCCCCGCCCTCACGGGGCTCGTAGGGAGAAGCTAGGCCTCTGGTCTGCCATCTACCCCGCCTCAAAGGGGCTCGTGGGGATGGCAGTCTTATGAGCTGCAGACGGTAGCAAGCTCAGGCTATGTGGTTATACTGGTACCTTGGCACATTCCTAATACTGCAAATCTGTATAATAACTGATTTCTGGATAAAAAGGACATTACTGCTTTACACTCATTTTTTTTTCAACAAGTCGGACGTCCCCCACCGAGGCAGGGTGACCCAAAAAGAAAGAATATCCCCAAAACGAAAATACTTTCATCATTCAACACTTTCACCTCACTCATACATAATCACTGTTTTTGCAGAGGCGCCCAGATACAATAGTTTAGAAGCATGTATAAAGATACAATACTAATATTTTTGTTAAATTGATATTTTTGTTGACAATTAATTACTGTCTGTTAATCAAGCTTACTACAAATATAAAAATTAGCCTATATGAAAATAAAGAAATAAGCTTTATTATGGAGAGAATATTTTTCAAGACTTGCGTTGAATTTCTTCCATCATGGTATCAACCAGCCACATGTCTTCCTTAAGAATGCTAACCACAGCATGTTGATAAACCTCTTCCTCCTTGTCTCTTGTAAGTCCATATCGTAATCCACATCCAGACTACTGACATCTGAGCTATCAGTTCGTTCAAACATCCCTGAAATTATATGTATATATATATATATATATATATATATATATATATATATATATATATATATATATATATATATATATATATATATATATATATATATATATATATTACTAAAATATTTTAACCTGAAAAAAGTATTCTATTTACAAATAACCCATTCATATGAGTTAAACTTATATGACCTTTCAGTCAGGCTTCTTCCCCATCTATTATTCACATTACACATTAGAAATTACATATAGTACCGTGATGTGTGAGAATTTTTTTTAATGAAGATGTTAAAACTGGTTTACAGTACTGTGTGGATTGCATCAGTTGTGTGTATAGATCCTCCAGTCGTATTACGTATTCCTTTATCTGTTTCTGTCAACATCAATGGAATGACTTGACGAATACATACGTTCTGAAATAGATTAGTATATGATATCTAATTGGATAAAGTACAAGAAATTCATTATACTTTAAAAATATATGTTTCTGACAAACATAAATGTATAAAAGAGGAGGAAGGTACACAAAAATTAGCACAGAGCTTCTTTTATATAAAGGGAAGGGGGATAAAATATCGTATTATATAATTAATGGAAATAAATGCTTAGGAAAATGTACAAAGGAGAATGTATAAATAAAAATTCTTAACCTCAAATTACCAAAGGCCTACCTTCAATGTATTAGTATAAGTTGCTACCATCATGTGACGAAAAACATCAGTGGCAAATGTTCATTGTTTCTCTCCTGCAAAACACTGCATCATTAATTAACAATATTCTGTTATTAAAATTTTCTAAAATACAAAAAAAATATGAATCCTTGTTATGAGGTCATAAATGAGCAGTCATAAAACCTTAACAAATACATAATCAATTTAACTCAAACTTTCTAAAATTTAATTATTATTGAAGTGAGATTGTTGAAAAAAAGAATGGCTAGGCCTGGGGACAGTTGGTCCCAAAGATGATGGGGTACTTGTACCTCCTCCCATGGGAGACTCGAGATACTCCCCAGATAGGGAGCCAAGGCCGGGTCACCACTACTTGGAAAAGACCCGGGCGGGGAGAATACCGGCGAATAAGAAAAAAAAATCGAATATTTGTTTTATTTGAAACTTTATCAGCGTAGATTTCGTTAATGACAACTTCAGCGCCACCGAATATCGGAGTCATAAATAATCTGCTACTTATGAGATCTGGAAGATAAAAACAGTGAGAAATAAAAAGTTAACTACCCGGTGTTGTCTTATACAAAAATATCTTGTCGCCAATACGGTGTTAAAAACTAACTTTAGTTCTGCTAAGGCCTTTTCAATGGTGACCTGCACAATGCCATGCTCATGATGGTAGTTCGGGATCCTGGCATAGCATACAACTTTAAAGCGGCAGTAGGGGTTTTCAGGCGTGAACTCGACTGGCGACATGTTAGGAGCGTAGTAACCTGCAAAATATTTTGGAAATAAATTAAGATGTGGAAGAGTACCACAACTGAGCTTTTCAACCATACAACAGCCACCCACTTGCTTTCTTTAAGCTTTATGACAACAATTTAAAAATTAATAATACAGTATTAACTTATCTTCTCCAGCAGTCCATAACACTTGAAGTTGATTCCACTAGCACGGGACCTCATTATTTTCATTATTGAAGTAGAAAGATGAAGAACATCTGCAAAATATAAAACACTTCTTCCAAACATTGAACACTATATCAGGCACCACAGTGTAGTACACTGTATTTGTTTCTTAGTTTCATTGTGTTAATTGATAGACACAAACATACAAACCTTTTTGTCCCCTTGACTGTTTTATGTAATATAATTTTTCCAAATATTTGTTTAGGAGATAATTAAAAACACTTGCTACATAAGATCGGACAAGCTGTATGTTAATCTGGGTCCCAAAGAAGGAGGTGGAGGCGGCGGAGCTGGATACATCACCATGACGGGTGATGATAAGCTACTGAGGCCTCCAGCTTGACACTTACAGTGGACTGTGAAACCATGTTCGTCACTAACTGACCACACATTTTTCTATATTGGAGTTTATGGTTCTGTAAATGTAGGTTGCACAGTAGGAGGTGTGGATGTTCTGTACAGTAAGTTTAGGTCTTTGAAGTGTGAGGGGACGGAGAGTGTTGCCTTGTATTGGATTACGTGATAATTCTTACTGCGGCTTTTTGTTAGATTATTTAATCACTTGCTCGGACGTTGGTAGGGATTTTACTGGCGAGATTTGATCCTGTGATTGAGAAGAAGTCATTTATCTTTTTAACTGTATCAATAGTCTATAGTTGTATTTCATTTGGTTTAGGACAATATCCCTATTTTTTTTTAGTTTGTGATTGAACAGAATCTGAGAATGTTTTCCAGGTCTTTTTTATATCTCCTTTTGTTTCGTTGAATTTGCTGGAATAATACAATAAATTGTTTGGTCTTTCTTATTAGTTTGGTGTAAACTGAAGAACAGTGTTTAATATCTTTGTGCATGAAGCCCTGTCTATATTGCTTTTCATATTGATGTTTCTTATCAATGGATCTTAGTCCCTAGCTGTGTTATAAAGTTTCTTCATGGAGTCTAAAAGAAACTTTGTTGTATTCCAGTGGTGGTGTAATGATGTTTGTTAAGAGGAAGGTGGAGTAGTGGTTAGTAGTTCTGTCTGTGATTATCCCTGGTTTAAGGGGATCTAGTATATTGGTCCATATATGGTAAATTATTATTGCAATTGTCTCAGTCAGCCTGGTTGGTTTAGTTATAATTGATATGAGAAGTGTGTTGTTCATAATGTTGATGAAGTCAGTTACAAGCTTGAACTCTCCAGTTAAGAGAAGGTGGTACTTGCTCATTTGGTTGTTTGTTAGATTTGTTGTTTGTCATTAGTGTCTTTAATTTATCGATAAAATTTGGGATGTTTATATGATGCATCTGTACAAGGTTTGTTCTCTGTCAATCCCTAGATACCTTTCCCTCTTTCATAAATTTTATAAATTAAAGCACAAATAATTAAAAAACTGCCCCCATCTGCTTCTAACATGTCTTTATCTCATATAGAAAAGAGCAAGGTGACAAATATAATGATGAGTCTAGGAAATTAAAACAAAAGGGAGAGTGGTTTGGTTATTTAAAGATATGGAGAAGGTTAGGATAAACTAAATGGTATGTAAATTTGGAATGGAAGGAAGGATTAGCGGGAAAATTAAAAGTTATGAGTTATTTTGAGAATTCAACAGGTTTGTGTGAGTGTATATAATATTTTTTAGCATTATGTGGTATTTAAGTGTGAGCAAGGTAGTAAAGAAAAAGTGGTGATATTCCAGTTTGGAGAGTCATTCTGGCAAGACAGAATGTTTTAAGCTATAATCCGTACCTACTCTCTACCTTTTGGCTTGATGCTTATAGTGCGATGAAGAATCATCTTATTGTAGGCAAGCATTCTTGTGTCCCTGCAAAAAAGGTCTTAAGTGACATGACATGTTAAATCCCATGTTTCTTGTAAGCCTTGATGAGATTTTCCACCAATTTTTCATCGTTACCTTCCACTCTGTTTCTGAGAAATAAATCCTTTTGCCACTAACATGAACGCTTCCCAAGAAGCAGCTTTTTCCTCCCCATGAAGGTCTGATCCAAACGAATCTGAGGACCATTAATGACTTTTATCTTAGCGTCGCTCAGTGAAGGGAATTTTGATGTTAAATACTTGAATCCCTGACCGGAAGAAATTTTATTCTAAATAAGCAGTATATAGTATCTTTTCTGATGATATATATATATATATATATATATATATATATATATATATATATATATATATATATATATATATATATATATATATATATATATATATATATATATATATATTATATATATATAATTACTGATTTTTCTTACATCTTTTTTTTTCAGATAAGTAACAAGAAATAACCCAAACAAATTCAAAATGTAAATCTCATTACCCATTGGAAGAAGAAAAATACCATTGTAAAGAATGTAATAAAAGTTACAAGGTAAAAAAAAAAAAGGACTAGAAAAACATACTGATAATATTCACTTGGGGATAAAAACATAAATGTCAGATATATTCAAAGGAATTGTGTTGTAAGTAGTCTCACACTTCATATTGCAACTGTTCATTTGGAAATACTAAGGAACATGAATGCCAGGTATGCTCAAAGAAATTTGCTACCAGATCAAACCTTAAAGTACATTTATATAAAATACATTACCAGATCCAAAAACACCATTGTAAACAATGTAAGAAATATCATATTGATAATGATTACATAGGGATAAAACATGAATGTCAGAAATGTTCAAAGACATTTTCGACTAAATATAATTTCAAATCACATGTACAAAACTTACATAATGATATAAATAAAGTAATTACTGTTGTGAAGAATGCAAAAAAAACTTTAAAATACCAAAGCTCACTTCAACGTCATATTAATGAGGTCCATTTGTAAATAAAACATTAATGTCATGTACGTTTAAAGTTTTTCTAGTAAATCAAGTGTCGACAATCAGAAAACAAACATTTTCAATTGTAAAGTCGAGGATTTTTCTTTTCATGTAGTACTTGTAAAAATAAATAATAGTTTGTACTTGTATATATTAAAAAGCTAGAGATTTTAAATATAAGAATAAAACTGTCTATAGACGTGAATTTATGTGTTAGAATCTTATAAATAAAAACAAACTAGTGTAGATACTGTTTATTTAATACCTAACATAAAATAGATCCATCCGCCCCACAGAATGTTACATCCAGTTGGTAATTTAGTAATATTTTTTTCAGACTATGTATTTTAAAATTGATGACAAACTTAAAAATCTAAGCTTAATCTCTCTCTCTCTCTCTCTGGTTTTCCCACATCCGGTAACCCCCTTGAGGGAGTAAAGAAAATAAGGAAAATGTGAATATGATGATACTTGCTAGTCAGGAGTCTTAAAAATTTCAATCTAAAAAAAATAAAACTAGTGTCTATTGTATTCCCAAATATAACATTTTCAGATGTCTTAGGTTTTTTTTCCAGTTTGATGGTTACTTTGAGTGGTTAACCTACAATGTATCTACTGTTCTTATATAAGTAGTTCTCCTTGTTTAGGTAAAAGAATATGAGAGAAGATATTATAAAAGTGTGATAGTACAGAGAATCTTTACTAGAGTTAAAAATTTCTGGTTCATATTAGGATGCGTTGTGTTGTTGATTACTGCAGATACTGTTAGCACAGTCCACACTTAAATCCATGGATAAATAACAGTTCGCAGCTAGTCACTTTTTTTTTTAGTCTATATCGTAAGATCTTAAGTGATGGTTATTTGTGTATTGTTTCAAACATGTTATTTTGACATTAGTTGTAATAGTTAATTCATTTGTCCTCTCTCTCTCGAGAGAGAGAGAGAGAGAGAGAGAGAGAGAGAAAGAGAGAGAGAGAGAGAAAAGAGCTTAGGTAATCTCTAGATATATTTTTTTAGTTAACTGGGAACTAATAATAACTGATTTCTGGATAAATAGGACATTACTACTTTACACTCATATTTTCTTAACAGTTAACTACTATGTCAACCAACAATCACTACAAGTATAAAATTATGGAGCAGATTTTTCAAGACTTGCCTTGAATTTCTTCCATCATGCTACATGCTGGTTAGGGGCTCTTGATCTAGGGAACTGGATCTGTGCTCCAGTTCCCTGTATTAAACCTGAATACCTTCCACATCCCCCCAACAGGCGCTGTATAATCCTACGGGTTTAGCGCCCCCCTTGATTATAATAATAATAGTAATCTATCATGCTGTCCACTACCCGCATGTCTTCCAATATTCAATTATTTCTTTTACACCATTATTATTTAAAAAGATGATGTTTGTTGTTGTACATGAATTGACTTAGTTCTCTCATTATAAGTGAACATTGTAGAAGAGGACAATCATAATAAAGAAAATGGTGATGATAATGATGAGGAGAAAGATGATAATAATGATGATGAGGAGAAAAATGTTGAGTTTTGTTTCTAATTTAATAAAAGAGTTTTTATTTCAAGTCTAAAAGTTTTACTAAAGGAGCAAAATATAAAATGAATAATGCGTTGTCCAGTCATAATAAAATTTACAATGACATGAAACACTTCTTCAGAATAAGGTTTCAAGTTTAATATGTTTATTATGCACCCCATACCCATCCTGTGGGCGGTAGTCAAAAGATTACAGAGGTACATAATTGGTCCAGGGACTGGGCCTCAAAGTTTTGATAGCTGAGCAAGTTACAGAGGCAATGAATTCACAATTTACAAAGGTAATGAACTCACAATTTACAAAGGTAATGAACTCAATAAGGAACCTTACAATTGTTGATATTTTCAGAAAAAAAAAAAACGCAATGTAAATAATAACCAGTAAAATACAAAGAACAAAGCAACTGATATATCAGAAGTAGTATAAATACTAGAATATGTCTAGTTACAAGTTCTAATAATAGTTGTAATATTATAAAGGTGACGGCACACTAACACTAATAATACCAGTATTAAATACTAATATTAAAATTAATGGTATTATCAGTAGTATTAAACCTGGTATGACCCGCCACACTTGTGTCCACATTATTATGAAAGTTATCAATAAGAACCATCTTCAACCATTACACAATTTATCTATAATATTATTATCAACTTCTGACGAGTTTAAACATATCAATTGAACATTAAATATGTTTTTAATATTTATCAAAATAGATAATATGACTGTTAGTAAAATTCTGTTACGTAATACTTTGTACATTATGAATTTTTTTATAAACCAAATAGCGAGAAATCGGTTATATGGAATCCATAAAATAATATAAAGCTTAAATGTTTGAGCTATATAAAGTAGTGTAAGAATTAGATTAATAAAATAACGAACAATCTAATACGAAAAAGACGACATATTGAGGGTAATAAGACGATGCTAGTTGTTATGATGAATATATCAGATGAAATTATCATTAAGTAATATTAATTATATGACTTTATTTTTGAGTTCGTGTCTTGTTAATATAAAAAGTTCAGTATATTGATAAT